TTTAATGATCTAATGGCGGACATTTACTGAGCACTTACCTTGTGCCTGGTACCATTTTGAAGCAGCTGACATGGATTGGGCCAGTGATCCTTACCACAATCCTATGAGGAAATTCAGTTATTATCCCCGGGTTATAAACAGGGAGACTACAGCACAGGAATGCCGGGTCATACTTACGTGGTTTCATCGCTAGTAAGCAGGAGAGCCCAGGTTGACAGCCAGGCAGCCCGACTCCGGATTGGCTGCCAGCGCCGTGCCAGGGGACCCCTGCACTTATGGAGAGGAGCCCCGCAGAGCAGAAGTGCTCACTAGACATTTGCTAGTGAACAAGGGGAAGGAGACTCGGAGAAGGAATGAGGAGTGCATTCTGGGCTGAGTTCACCAATTTCTGGATGATGAAGGACAGCATTTGCCACCCAATCTCGAGGGAGCCATAGACACACCTTGTAAGGGCTGGCAGCATCGATTGCATCCATCATCTTCTTCCCAAGCCTATGGGGTAGGTACTAATACCAGCTCCATTTTACAGATAAAAATACAGAGGCCTCCAGATAGTAAATGTAAACTAAAGAAATGGAGAAAGGGGGCAGTGGTAGATTTTGGGGACCTTGCAGAGCCAAATCCTGTAATGTTTGTCCCCTTGGTCTCCCTGGACTCACAAGCCCCCTGGAGGGCGGAGGTCAGAGACTCATAGCAGGGCCCAGCTGCAGAGTAGAAGGTTCCACCAGATGGTGGGCCTTCCAGCCACCTCAGGAGAGGCTTGGGCAGGAAGGAGAGTCCAAACCTGACAGCTGCTCTGGGAGGGGCACTGCCCAGTTGGAACAGGCACAAGAGCTGCCTTCTGGAGGCACCCTGCCGGATGGCAGAAAGGAGGGGATCTGGTGGGCAGGCGGTATGGGGACCAGGGGGCCCTCTGATTCAGCATTTCAACAGCATTGTGACTACCAGAGGGCTTGCCCAAATATCAGCCCTGGCCTTGATGTCTTCCCTGCTAGTTTCTCTCTTCTGCTCCTGAGTCAGGGGCTTTGATCCCCATTCTAAAGTCGAGTCTTTTGACATCCTGCTCCTACAGCCGCTACTGGTTGGTCAGAGTTCAGATAAATGGGGATCTGAGAGTCTATGGGTATAGGGAGAAGGAGGCCTGTCGAGCCTCCAGGTAATGTGCACTGAGCACCCACTGTGCCAGACTCTGTGATGGACGTGGTGTATAATAGTGAGCACATTAGAGTCCGGTAAATACACAAAATAACTAGTGGTAGGACAAAGGTGTCGGAAGCCTACAGGGGCAGCTTCCCCCACTGAGCAGTTTTGCCTCCTTGTGTAACCCAGAAGCTCCCGAGGAAGCAGGCCTGGCCTATGACACGGGTCCTCTGTGCTCTGGCAAGTGCCTGTCCTGCCTGGTTTCCCAGCAGGCATTTCTGCTGTTGCTCCTGACTCCCAACCCCATGGGCGGCTCCTTGGGCACCCCAGCCCAGGGCAGGGGGGTTGGGGCTTCCTGGAGCAGGGTGTGGAGCCAGGAGTGGAACAGAGGAGCCATTGAACTGCCCACAAAGCTGCCACCTGGGCGCCCACGGGCACCAAGGGCTGGCGCTAGGGAGGCCCACGCCGGCCTGGGAGGGGTCGTGGCTCTAGGCACCGGCCCAGGACTCCAGTGGGAAGGGTGCTGAGTGCAGCTGTGACCAAGCTTGGTGAGGGAAGGGCTGGGGGGCTCTGTGGAGTTGGGGGCCACCGGTGCGTGGTTCTGGGTGCTTCTGCTCACTGGGCAGCTTCCAGGATCTCAATCCCCCTACCTGGTCCTCCACCCCACCCAGATTCATGCTTCCTCCCTCTTCTGAATGAACAAGAAAATGCGCTTCCTTTGTCCATTCTTCCTGTTTTATGTGAACTGATTTAACAAAGATTTACTGAGCACTTTTGGGCACTGGGAATTTAGCAGTAAACATTCTTGCCCTCAGGAAGCTCACAGTCTGCAGGAAGACAGATAATAAAGCAAGTATTCACTACACACATGATGACAGCCCAGCCCAGAGGCACTAACCTGACCTGGGGGGAGAATGGAAAGGCTTTCTGAAGGAAGAAAAGAATCTGATTCAGGCTTAGGGAAAGCTTTTGAGGTGAGAAAAAGAGCATTGAGCTTTTAGGTAACAATGTGATCTGAGATGGGTAAAGAGAAACCAAAGAGGAAAGTGGAATCTTAAAATCTCTTTAACTATGGACTTTTTATTGTAGCCGCTGGAGAGCCATTGCAAGGTTTAAGGATAGCGTGTCCGTTGATTCAGTTACTGTTGAGTTGCTGCCATGTGTGAGTTGTGAGTCTGGGTGCCAACTGGGCTGGGTACCCAACAGGCTGGCTCCAGAGCCCCCTTGGTCAAGTGGGTGGGGCCACTTGGGGGGGTGCCAGCTGGCCTGGGAGGAAGCAGTTAGGGGGAGGAGGGGTGAGTGGATTTATTTTCTTTACTTCTTAGAGGAAGGAGGATGAGGTGTGGTGGGCTCTGAGGGAGGTAGGAGGTGATCTAATAGAAACATTTTTCTAATAGAAACATTACTCTAGTGCCTACTGTGAGCTGGGTACTTACTGGAGCCAGAGAGACAAAAATGACAAAGGGCTCCAGGGTAGTGGCTGATCTGGTGGTGGGTTAGGAAGATCTGAGATGGTAGAATTCTCGGAAGCAGGCAGAGATCTGAGGGCAGAAAGGGGCTGGGCGGCTTGACTAGGACAAAATGGATCTGAATGAACAAGAAAATGCGCTTCCTTTGTCCATTCTTCCTGTTTTATGTGAACTGATTTAACAAAGATTTACTGAGCACTTTTGGGCACTGGGAATTTAGCAGTAAACATTCTTGCCCTCAGGAAGCTCACAGTCTGCAGGAAGACAGATAATAAAGCAAGTATTCACTACACACATGATGACAGCCCAGCCCAGAGGCACTAACCTGACCTGGGGGGAGAATGGAAAGGCTTTCTGAAGGAAGAAAAGAATCTGATTCAGGCTTAGGGAAAGCTTTTGAGGTGAGAAAAAGAGCATTGAGCTTTTAGGTAACAATGTGATCTGAGATGGGTAAAGAGAAACCAAAGAGGAAAGTGGAATCTTAAAATCTCTTTAACTATGGACTTTTTATTGTAGCCGCTGGAGAGCCCTTGCAAGGTTTAAGGATAGCGTGTCCGTTGATTCAGTTACTGTTGAGTTGCTGCCATGTGTGAGTTGTGAGTCTGGGTGCCAACTGGGCTGGGTACCCAACAGGCTGGCTCCAGAACCCCCTTGGTCAAGTGGGTGGGGCCACTTGGGGGGGTGCCAGCTGGCCTGGGAGGAAGCAGTTAGGGGGAGGAGGGGTGAGTGGATTTATTTTCTTTACTTCTTAGAGGAAGGAGGATGAGGTGTGGTGGGCTCTGAGGGAGGTAGGAGGTGATCTAATAGAAACATTTTTCTAATAGAAACATTACTCTAGTGCCTACTGTGAGCTGGGTACTTACTGGAGCCAGAGAGACAAAAATGACAAAGGGCTCCAGGGTAGTGGCTGATCTGGTGGTGGGTTAGGAAGATCTGAGATGGTAGAATTCTCGGAAGCAGGCAGAGATCTGAGGGCAGAAAGGGGCTGGGCGGCTTGACTAGGACAAAATGGAATAAGGTGGGAGCTGAAGAGCTGAAGGGTGAGATGGCAGGAGCCTTTGGGACATGCTTTGGAGACCCTTGGAGGGGTTTGCAGCAGCCCAAGGAACATGAAGAAGGGGTCTCTGAGGTGGGAAGCTTCCTTTTTCCATCTCTGCCTCACTAAGGGTCCCAGATCCGCTAACCCAGGGCAGGGAGGTCACCCTTACAGCTTCCCTGCTCAACTGGCTCCCACAGTCCTGATCTGTGGGATCTTGGCCCAGAACGAACAAAGCCTAGACCAAGAATGGGGGAGAGGCAGGAGTGGCCCCTCCCCATGCTGCTGGCCCCAGAGCCACCTCTTGTTAATGCAGTGCTCCCCTGAGGGGCTGGGTGGGCTGGGCTCTGTCTCTGCCGCAGCCAGTCCTCCCCTCCCTGCCCCCCAGGAGCCTGTGCCCAGCTTGGAGAAAGGCTCTATTGTCCTCAGTTGTGCCCCACCCTGAGCACCTTGAACTCCTCTGCAGGGTGTGTGGCTTGTGGTTCCCTCTGCCTTGACTGGGAGCAGAGACAGAGGGGTGGCCATGAGCCGCTTGTGTGGGAAAATGCAGGGGATGTGGAGGGCCAAGGCCAGGCCTTTCCTGTCCCTGTTCTCCACGAGCCCAGGGATTTCAGCAGAGCCCCAATCCTGGCTTTCCTCATGGCTGTCCTAAGGTTGTCTCTCTCTGGGACAGCCAAGGTGCCCACCGGTGGCAGGTTGGCAGCGTGATTTTGTACAAAGGATGCAGGTTCCAATCCTGGTTCCTCCACTTACTTGGAGTGGTCTTGGGTATGTTGTTCCCTACCTGCTTTGAGCCTCCATTTCCTTAAAACGGGATAATGATACCCACATGATGATTATGATGGATGTCATGCAGCTAAACCAGCAGAACTGTGGCATAGAATACTCAGTCTTTCTGTTCTTGATGGTCAGCAAATAATATTTGTTCAGCATCTGGTAACACACTGGTAGGCATGGACCAAGCTGATCTCCAAGTTGCCTCCTGTGCCCTGTCCACTCTTTGAACTCCATTGCAACCAGTTCTCTGAATGAATTCCCTCTGTGGAACCACCTGGTGTAAGCTCTTAGGCTGCCTGGACCCTGACTGAGGCAGGCTTTAAGGCCCAGAGTCTCATCCTGGCTATTTAGCCTAGGGGTTGGCCCAGAGGCACAAAATTAACAGAAAAGAAAGTACCATTTTTTGGGCAGCCTACTGGGAGACCCCTGCAACGGAAGAGCCAGGGCTTGTCCCCATCTAAGTTCAGAGCCTGGGGCTCCAGGTCTAAGGCAGCCTGTCCAGGACTCTTGCTCCTGTGGATAGAGCATCTGGGGAGCAGCTGTCTCTCAGATGTCTGATGCCTGCTCTCTTCCCACAGTTGGCAATCCTAGAAGACTATGCGGACCCGTTTGATGTCCAGGAGACTGGTGACGGCCTAGTAGGAGCTTCAGGAGCCCCAGAGAAGGTCCCGGAAAACGATGGCTACATGGAGCCCTATGAGGCCCAAAAGATGATGGCCGGTGAGTGATAGAGTAAGGGAGGGTGTTGGGGGAAGTTGTTCCCTGAGGCTTGAGTATCTGCAAAACAGGCTTTGGGACCCACACGTCTTAAGAACTGATTCCTTGGTCTCTAGAGTGTTCCCTGAGGCTTGAGTATCTGCAAAACAAGCTTTGGTACCCACACGTCTTAAGAACTGATTCCTTGGTCTCTAGAAAATATGGAGAATGCCTTTGCTGGGTCTTCGGGGAAGGTGACCACTACTGTCAAGATAGTCACTTTGGAGAAGGAGCTGTGATTTGTGGTACCTGAGACCTGAGGTGGTAGAGAAGGCACACAACCAAAGGTCAGACAGATGGAAGCATTTGGGATAGTGAGGAAGGGCAAGATAGTGGTGTGGGCTGGGGGTCATTGGTCCCTAAAAGAGAATCACTAGCTTTGGAGAAGGTGGTAAGTTTGAAACGATGTTATGACAATTGGAAACGCATGACTATAAGTGCAGATGCAATGCCCATGATGCTGGGCAAGTAGTTGAAGGAGTGAGGGCAGGAAGAAATGGATGAGCCTGGCTCTGGGGAGCAGAGACCAAGAAAGGGCCCAGGGAAAGACCAAATGGGGGCAAGCAGACAGGAGGACAGGGGTGAGTCAGTCTAAGCCAAGGTCCCAAGGCAGGATGAAAGGAAGATGTTCACAGGAGAGGCAAGATGAGAGAGGCCAAGAGGGGCATTGATAGGCCTTAAAGGCTGGAATGAGGCATTTGGACTTGCTCCAAAAGGGGAAGGGGAGCCATTATGGATTCTTGAGCAAGAAAGCAACAGGACAAATAAGGCATTTTAAGAGGATTACAGAGGCTTTGGTGTACAGAAGAGACTAGAAGAACTGGGCATCAATCAGAAAGATGAGTTAGCAGGCTGTTGTGAAAATTACTGAGGCTTTACAGAACCAATAATTACCACCCTTTTCTTCCCCTCTGGAGCTTGGAAATAATTGAGAAATAAGATCAAGGAAACAGAAAATGGAGATAACAATGTCAGTTTTCTTACTGATAAAGGTGATTGGAGAACATTACTTATCTATGTCACTACAATGGGCTTCTTAATACTTCCCCACAGAATTAAACTTGCCCACTCAGGCTTGGGCAATGTAGCATGACTTTAGGCCCTTGCACAGGGGCAGGAGGAAAAAGAACCAGAATGTTCTCTCTGTATAAGAAAGCAGATCAGATAAACTGCTCGCCCTCCTTAGAAGAGGTGGGAGACGGGCAGAGGGCAGTCAGGAGTGTTATTCCATGGAGCCAATGAAACAAGATCCTGAAGAATGGAGGTTCGCCCTAGTAGTAATCTAGATGTGGAGAGATGAGGGTGAGACTCATCAGGCATTGGCAATGACAGATGGGACTCAGACAGTGAAGGAGGGCCAGGACCAAGGAGAGCAGTATAGTAGACAGAAATGGAGACAGTGGGAGGGTGGCTACCATATTTAGATCAGAGGGGTGTGGCCCCCTAGGACAGCAGCTGCCAACCTTTGGACCTCACGGACCACCAGTGGTCCGCAGACCACCGGTTGGCAACCGCTGCCCTAGGAGGCCCGTGAGTGCCCTGGGATTGATGAGAAAATCTGCACATAGGGGGAGCTCCATAGCTTTTATCAGTTTCACTGGGGTCAGAGATCTCAAAAAGAAAATCACAGAACAGACTAGAAGAACATTCGGGGAGAGTGGTGAGTTTGAAACATCGAACTGAAACATCTTTAAGGCAACTAGAAACATAGATGCAAAGCATTCGACTGGGCAAGTAGTGCAAGGATGAGGCCTGGGAGAAATGAATGAGACTTGGCCTTGGGAAACTGAGACCAAGAGAGGATCCAGTAAAAGAGACCAAATGGGAGGACAGTCCACGAAGGGGACAGATTCAAGGATGGGGTGGTCAGCAGTGTCTGAGCAACAAAGGATTGTCATATTGTGAATGGTATCACTTGGGACACAAGGAAATAAATGGAGTTGGGTAGCAAGGAGATGGACTAGGAGAGGACCCTGACTTGGTTTCCTAAATGTGTACGCCTCAGCTCCCCAGGATCCTTGCCCAGGATCCTTTTTCTGTCTTTCATTCGGGTGCCGCTGCCCCTGCCTCTGTTGGGTCCCATGCTTTTGGAACCCCGGAGGTGTTTTGAGGGAGAGGGACCCTGTATGTGTGCCCCAGAGCCACCGGCATCTGTGAAGGAAACCTGTCTGGTTGCTGGGAGCACTGCTGGGGGGCTGAGCCAGGCAGCCAGGCTCTCACGCCTCCCTCCTGCTTGCCCTGGTAGAGATCCGGGGCTCCAAGGAGACGGCCACTCAGCCCCTGCCTCTGTATGACACACCCTATGAGCCAGAAGAGGAGGGAGCCACCCCTGAGGGCGAGGGGGCCCCTTGGCCCCGGGAGTCCCGCCTGCCTGAGGATGATGAGAGGCCGCCCGAGGAGTATGACCAGCCCTGGGAGTGGAAGAAGGAGCGGATTTCTAAAGCCTTTGCTGGTGAGTCCTGGGCGGAGAGGGCAGGTCCACTGGGGCCTCTGGGCAGCTTTCTGGGCTCGGGGGAGTGAAGGAGAGGCACCCTGGGAGGGGAGGCCCAGGAGGGAAGTGTAGTTGAGTCTTCACCATGGAGCTCTGAGTTGGCAGGTGGACAAGGCGCTGTGTACAGAGTCAGGGTGTGGGCACAAGAGGAGGATGAAAGCGTCTCCCTGCATCACCACCTCCGACGCCCAGAGGCTGGGGCCACTTCCACCTTTTGGGGGACTGGGTATATTTAAAAATAAAGAAATTCCAAACAAAATTATAAAACTTGTGGCATATGTTAAATACTTAACAAAAGAGGGCATTAACCTTCCAAACAATGCAAACAGCTGCCTCTGTAACCGTTAGAGATGCCAACCCTGAGTTAGCGGCTGTGTCTCCCAGTGGTAGGCCATGCAGACCAGGGGTGCCTACCCCCCGAGGGGTTTCTGAGAAATCCCCGTCACTGAGTGAGGGTAGGTTTCTTCTGTACCGAGCACCCCAGTGGCCATCCCAGGCCTGGAGTCCGACATGGAGAGGTGTGTGTGGGTGGTTTGAGTTGGGGGGTAGGGGGCACAAGAGCTTTAACTCCTGGATCCTTGATTCAGTGAGGACTTAAATGCCATTAGACCCCCTTTCCATTCCAAGTCCCTCTTACTCCTCCTTGGGCAAGAGGCTCATCTTGGCGCTGGACCCAGCTCTTTGCTCTGTGGGGAAGCCCACCCTGGCAGCCAGACTGAGAAACCACACGGTGTCTCATTTGTTTCCTGTAAAGCGCGCACCATTGAGGATGGGCCGCTTATCTCCAGAAGTCTCCTTGGAGAATCAATACTGTTTGGCTTGCTTAATGGGAAAATCTATGCTCGTCATTAGGAAACCTTGTTAGCAGTCCTGGTGCCGCCCGTGGCATCACTCTTCTCATTGTCAGGGCTTGGGATTTAGGGTGTGGGGGGCAAGTTTCATAAAACATCTGCCCCCACATCTGAGTATCCCTAACAACCTGGGGCTGGGCTGTCTCAGCGAGGCGGTGGGGAAAGGAGGGATGGAGGAGGCCGAGGGAACCTGGGGTGGTGCTAGGAGACATGGGCAGCTCCTCATCCCTCTTTTCCTCCTTTCCTGGCCCCTCTGGTTCCTGGAAGCTTGTGAGGTCAAATGAAGGGGATCCGCAGGGCTGACAGCAAGACCCTGCTTTTGCCACCTGAGCCTCCCACCTTTGACCCTGCCAGCCCAGGGTGGTCAGTATGGCTCCACCCGGCCTTCTGAGAGTCCTGCTCCCTATTCAGAAGCCAAACCTGCCTCCCCTCTGACCCTCCTCCTTTCTAGGCTGTCCTGTGTCCTGGCTCTGGGTTTTGGTGTCTCAATCTCTGCCTCTCTCTGTCTCTGTCTCTCTCTCTGTCCCTGTCCCTGCCTGTCTCTCTCCTCCCTGCTGTGCTACTGGTTCCAGTTGACATTAAGGTCATCAAAGACCTACCTTGGCCTCCACCGGTGGGACAGCTGGACAGCAGCCCCTCCCTGCCCGACGGGGACAGGGACGTCTCCGGTCCAGCCTCACCCCTCCCCGAGCCCAGCCTGGAGGATGGCAGCGGTGGGTCCTGTCGGGGCTTCTGGCCAGGGTGACGTGTCCTCTCATCCCTTGGGCCCTGGGGGCGTGGGTTGGAGGAGCCAAGAGGTGGGGCATGGTTTGAAGGACCCAGGAGCAACCCCTCTCTTCTGAGGAAGAAGGAAGGGAGAAAGTACACATCTCCCCTCCCTCCCCAAACGTGGGGAAGGTGTCTCCTAAGGGAAATCCCACGGAAACCCACTCTTCTAAATCCACTGCTTTGGGTCGTGCTTTGCCTGACCAGACTTCAGCAATGCAAACAACTCCTGAGATGGGGGCGACTAGCTCGCACAGCAGGTGTCTAGCTCCTCAGATAAAGGAAAGGGTCTGCTCCTTGCAGTTGGTGTCTGAAAGATAATAAGGGCTTGAAAGTGCTACAAGGAGAGAAAAATAGTCCAAGTGGGGAGAAAGAAGGCACTGAACACCTCATCTGCGTTCAGTTTTACCCAGAATGGGCAGTTGAGGGGAGTGGGGGGCGGTGCATCTCTGCACGTGCACAGAGGCCTGAGCACCTGTTGGTACATGTGTGCCCGAGTGTGAGTGGGGATTTTGTAGATACAGGATGTCACCTGTGCATGTGTGCCTCTGTCCATGTGGTCTGCTGGCTTCAGCTGTCCCTGTGCAGGCTCAGCAGTCAGGTCTGCCCTGGTCTGGGAGGGCAGAGCGCCCTCTACTGGGTTTCTGTGGGGGTGGGGAGGGGAGTCTGTGGGCAGCGACCTTGGGAGCGGGGGATGGGTGGACCGGCTGGCGGCTTTGGGCAGGATTAGCCTGTCAGGATGGCACCAAGGGGAATCAGATAATTGTTCTCAGATCGATAAGTCATTTCTACAGAATGGCTTGGCAGGGTGATTTGGAGAACGGTAATGAACTCTGAGGAGGAGAAAGAAACAATATTATCAGCACTGAAGCCACCCCGAGGAGGATGGAATAGGGGAAGGCAGTCAGCTGCTCCCCAGGGAGAAGCTTAAGTGGTTCCTCTTGTTGCTCCTCTCCCCTCTTCTCCCACCGTGTGGGGACTGGGAGGCCCTGTGTGGCACCGGAGGGCTGAGCCCCACCTTCACCTCCACCCCTGCCCCTCCTGGGGGATGGACCCAGAATTCCATCCCTAGAGCCAGTCAGGCCCATGAGCATGTCCAGGAAATGGGGGTGGGGTACTGGCTATTCTATAGGGCTCTACTTCTAGGTTCCTCAGTGGCTGTGACTGGTATGTTCCCCACAGCCCAGTTTGAAGGATCTGAGAAGAGCTGCCTGTCACCCGGCCTGGAGGAGAAGGGGCGTCTACCTCCCCGACTCTCTGCAGGGAACCCCAAGTCAGCCAAGCCCCTAAGCATGGAGCCCAGCAGTCCCCTGGGGGAGTGGACAGACCCAGCACTGCCTCTGGAAAACCAGGTGTGAGTGTCTGTGTCCAGCTGGGGGCTCTCCCCTCTCCCTTCCCTTCCTAGCACTTGCCTGAGGGGACACCCCAAATGGGTGGGCCTGGTCAGCGAGGCACCCAGCAGAGATGCTCCCCTTCCTCTCTCTCATCCGCAGCTGGTACCATGGGGCCATCAGTCGAACAGATGCCGAGAACCTGCTCCGGCTGTGCAAAGAGGCCAGCTACCTGGTGCGCAACAGTGAGACCAGCAAGAATGACTTCTCCCTGTCCCTCAAGTGAGTGGGGCTGGCTGGCTGGCAGTTTTAGACAGGATTAGCCTGTGAGGGTGGCACCAAGGATAATCAGTGGGAGGACAACCGCCAGGACAGGAGGAGACCCTAATATTCTCAGGCCCAGCCAAGCTGGGGAGAACCCCATCCCCCATGAACCTTTGCCGACTCTGGGCCACACCCTAAGGGTCTGAGCTCAGCCCCTGCTCTCAAGGAGCTCATAGTTTCTTGGGGGAAATAGTTAAGCTGTTGTCCAGTTCAGAAGGGTTCTGTCCCTTACTAGCTGTGTGGCCTCGGTCCCCTTAATCTCTCTGGGCCTCAGTTTCCTTAACTTACAAAGTGAGGGAATAATATCTACTTTATAGGGATGATTAAATGTATGGGAAGCACTTGCCGTGGTGCTAAGTGCCCAATAAATGATCACCATCATCATCATTAATGGCAGTCGGAAATGTTCTAAAAGCACAGGCAAGGAGATAGGAGCTTTGCCTGAAAGGATCTACAGGGTGAGATGGAGGCTGGGTCCTGGGAGGAGGACAGGGCTGTGGACACTATGAAGAAGCGGACAGGAGGTCTGGTTGCTGGTGGCTGACAACTGAGCTTTATTTAAAGATCCTGGAAGAGGTCAGGGAGGTCGGCCCTCCCTTCCTATCAGCCCTCCTCCCTGGGAGCAGATACACAGGCCAGGATTGGCTTCCCAGGCTCTCCTGGTGGGATGGCAAGTCCTCTCCTTGGCACCCGAGAGTGCCCCCTGGTAGAGCCTGTACTCCACAGGACCGCCTGTCAGAGCGGTGTGTCCATTCACACACACACACACCCCTCCCCCGCCACTACTGGAGCATCTATATCACCTTCTACCACGTTTTCTGGGTGCAATAGAATATAGATATACCCGTCTTCAAACAAATCCAATATATGGAAATTTGGGACTACTAAACAGATACATTTGAAGATAATTATTCAACTTCACTAAAAGATAATGAAGAAGAAAAAAAAGCCAGACTATAGTCATAACCTGAGTTTTATTCTTGGGTTTAATAAAATTAGCTATGTGACCCGAGGCAACCTTAACCCCTCTGGGCCTTGGTTTCTCCATTTGCAAAATGGAGAATGGTTACTTCTTAGGTTTCTTCCAGCTCTCATACTCTGGGAGTCTGCAAATTATCATAAAATCAAAGGAGCATTTGGGAAAAATTTGTCAAAAATGTGATTTACATAACTTCCGGAATGTGTATTGCTTTAAAGATTATAGTTAAGATTCATAGAGCATATACTATATGCCAAATAGCAGCATATACACCATCTCTTAAACCAACTAGCATCCTGCAAAACCAATCTCTTTTTATAAACAAAAATAGATTCAAAGAGGTATGACTTGCTCAAGGCCACCAGCTAATAAAGTTCTAAGAGCAGAATTTTTTATTGATTTTTTTACAGAGAGGAAGGGAGAGAGATAGAGAGTTAGAAACATCGATGAGAGAGAAACATCGATCAGCTGCCTCCTGCACATCTCCTACTGGGGATGTGTCTGCAACCCAGGTACATGCCCTTGACCGGAATCGAACCCGGGACCCTTCAGTCCGCAGGCCGACGCTCTATCCACTGAGCCAAACAACCGGTTTCTAAGAGCAGAATTTTTAAAAAATATATTTTTATTGATGTGAGAGAGTGAGGGAGAGGGGGACAGAGATAGAAACATCAATGATGAGAGAGAATCATTGATTGGCTGCCTCCTGTATGCCCCCCCTACTGGGGATCGAGCCTGCAACCCAGGAATCGAACCGGGGACCCTTCAATCCACAGGCCAATGCTCTATCCACTGAGCCAGACTGGTTAGGGCCAAGAGCAGGATTTGAATCCAGCTCAGTCTGACTCTAATAACTACACTGTTCCTCCATTGCACAGCTCCACCCCTCAAGTCTGGAATAGTCTAAGGCAAGTGGAGACTGCAGGGGTCTGGCTCCCTAGCAGAGCACGGCAGAACACAGCCCTGCCTTAGCCTGGGGTGCAAAGGGGGAGGCACGTCTGGACGCCTGGCTCCAGCCCTGGCTGATCTGGCCCCGCCAGCAACTGTCTGCCAGAGCCTCGTTCACATATAAATGGCTTTTCTGAAACACAATTATGGTTTCTCTTCTCTCTGTAATGGAAGGGCTTTCATTGGTAATTAAACAGCTTCCTCCACAAGTCAAGCCAGCCCTGGCTCTGCTTCCCAGCTAGTCCCTCCCCGGCCCCCGGAGGGTCTGGCACGGGTTCTGCTGTGTCCTAATGGACCCTTGGGACTTTGTCCCAGGAGGTCAGTTATCCAGATGGAAGCTGAGCTCTCAGCTTCCAGCTCTGGTCTCTGGCTACTTGTTGCCCTGTTTGCCCAGATCTGTCCCTCAAAGAGAAGATACAATGCACAGGTGTTAGGAGAGGTGATGTTCCCAAGTGGACTGTGGGAAGGGAGCCATCCCCAAACTGCGAGAGGGTGAGGGAAGGCAGGGTCCACACTGCTGCCCACAGCCTTGGGCCCGGGCCTAGGCATAGGACAGACAGGGGAGGGGATCACTTACTGCCTCCCCTTTCTACAGTCCCCAGGGGCTGTGCATTTTCCTGAGGCCCTTGGCTCCTTTCCCAGGGCCTGTGTGGTCACCATCAGCCTCAGCAGTTATCTCAGACCAACAGATGAAGGATGGCCCCACGCCCTGACACCCACACCCAGAACTGGGGCTTCCAGCAGGCTTTGGGGCACTGTACCCTGGGGAGGGAAGGATGGAGTTAAGGGCCTGTGTTTTCCTCCCATCCCTTTACTCTCCCCGCTTTCTAACTGCTGGGCCTAGTGAAATGGGTCCAGAGGCCTCTTTTAACCCAGGCAGGGGAGGCAAGCGAGGAGGTATTCCAGCTTCGCCTCTCAAGAGCAAGGGCCTCACCAGGAGTCCTGCCTCACACACCTGCTTCTGAGTCCTGTCCTTGTCCCCAGGTAGGCTCTGACCAGCAGGGCTCCCCTAAGCAGTGCTGACCACTTGCCAGTGAGTGGGTTTCAGGCCTGGGGCCTGGGCTGTAGTAGTTTGGACAAATGTTGTTCTTGCTGGGGCCCCACCCCCACTCTAAGGCTGAGGGTGCCCAGACATCTGAGAGACTGCCAGAGCTGGGGGGAGGGGAAGGGCGAGGGATAAGGGGTGTGGGGGAGAGACAGGGTCCTTGTCTATGGTCAGGGCCGGGCACTACTGCTGACTTCCTTTCCTAGATTGTGCCGGGAGATGGGAGAGGCAGTGGGCATGTCCTCTCTGAGGAGGGCATGGAGCAGCAGCCTCACCCATGACGTCAGCCCAGGCTGAAGGGCTGGATGGGTGGGCTGGGTGCTTGGCTCAAGGCCAGTTAGCAGGAGGGTGAAGGGATGTCCCTAGGACAAGGTGGCTGGCTCTCCCCAGATTTGGGGAGCAGCTCACCTCCTCCCCTAGTATCTGCAAGAGAGAGCCCGAACCAAGATTCTCTTGGTTGTCACATCCACCCACCACTACTGCCCTGCCAAGGGTGTCTGTGTTTCCACAGGAGTGACCAAGAGCCTCACTGGTGCCCTCCCGCACAGCTCGGAAAGGGGGATGGGTAAACTGGTCCTGGCCACATAGGCTGGAAGGCAGGAGTGCCCGGATACCAGGGTTTGGGGTGGGGGCGAGGGGTGTTGGTCCCTCCAGTTTCCACCTGTACACACCCTGTACACTCACTGCAAGCACATTCCTGGCACACCCTGTGCCCTCACCACAAAGCCAATACCTACTGCTACCTACTCACAAAATCCCCTCCGCCCCCTCCCTGCTTTCTGGACTGACCTCCATCTTCCACAGCCACCTCCACTCTCTGCTGGTTTGGAACAAGACCTTGGCTGCAGGGCTGGGGGAGGGAGGGGCCTGGAAGGGGCCCCCACTCACCAGGGTCTCCTCTCCTCTTCCCAGGAGCAGTCAGGGCTTCATGCATATGAAGCTGTCTCGGACCAAGGAACACAAGTATGTGCTGGGCCAGAACAGCCCGCCCTTCAGCAGCGTCCCCGAGATCGTGCACCACTACGCCAGCCGCAAGCTGCCCATTAAGGGGGCCGAGCACATGTCCCTGCTCTACCCCGTGGCCATCCGGACTCTGTAGGAGTGAGGCTTGGGCACTGCGGCAGATCTGGACCCAGTCCTGTGCCCGTCCCCTGGCTGAGGGCTGTGGTCCTTCCCAGGGCCGTGCTCTCCCAAGCCTTTCTTCCCCTCTCCCTGGGATGGAGTGGAAACTGGAGATTCCTTAATTTATTCTAAAGAGTAAGGGCTATGGGGCCTTGGAGGAAGCGGAGGTCTGGAGCTGAGGAGAGAAGAACCCCTGGGGAGAAAGGGCAGCCCCTGGAGGAAGGGGGCTTCCAAACCGCGAGTCTCCCGAAGAGTTTAAGATCCGCAGCTGCAGGCCCCGCCTCTGGGGCAGAGGTGGCAACCTACTTCCCCTCCGCCCTCTACCCCCGGGTCAGTACGAGGCGGAGCAGAATGCAGGCCCGCAGGGCACCCTGACCTCTTCCCCTCCACCCCCAAACGATCGGCAGACCCCTGGGGTGGAGATGGCATTGGGGCGGGAGAGGCGGGAAAGGGATCGGGACGGAGGGAATTCGTGCGGTCCCCCGGCCGTTCCGGCTCCCGGCCAGAGGCAATAAATAAACCCAGTGCTGCCAGGCACTGCCGCGTCTGCGCCTTCCGCGCCGCACCCCGGGCTGACGGGTGGGGAGCGGCGAAGCGAGCACAGATCCGTTTATAAATCAGCTCTGGAGCAGACACAGGCCGGCTGTGAAAAGCGCTTTCGAAGCATCAAGTTCCTTCCTTTGACGAGATATCAAAACATCCCCCACTGCCCCTGCCCCGGCTGGGGGGTGGG